AGCGGGATGCTTCCCGGGAGGAGGGGACGGAGGCTGCAGAGTGAGGAGGAGGAGGAGGAGGAAGGCTTTGGGCTGCCTCTGCCGCCTACAGCAGCTTGTCTTCCTCCTCAAAGTGTTCTTCCTCCGTGTAGTTGCTTTTCAGGGCCTTTTTAAGCTTGGTCCAGAAGAGCTTCTGGGCCTCGGGCTGCGGAGACCAGCTGAGGTAGGTCTTCTTGAGCATCACCTTCCGCATGCGGTGGTAGGCGGAGAGCTCCGCGTTGGGGATGGCCTCCAGGAAGACGAGGATCAGCACGTCCTTGAGCTCGTCGAAGAGGCGGTAGCTGGCCAGCTGGATCTCCAGGGAGCACCACTCGCTCTGCAGGTAGCTGCGGCTGATGACGCAGATGGTCTTGCGGCTGTTGTAGATGCTGTCCACGATGTTGTCGATGATGCTCTTCCCGGGCCTGAAGTCGCGGTGGTGGAGGCAGAGGCGGAAGGAGACCCGGGCCCCGAGCTTGGCCACCAGCTCCTGCAGCACCCAGCCCTCGTCGGCCGAGTTGTAGGAGATGAAGCTGTCGTACTGGTACTGCTCCTCCTCCTGCCGCCGCCAGCGCTCGTTCACCCAGCTGCGGAGGATGTAGAAGTGGTACTTGAGGCGCCAGTAGGCCCGGTGGTAGAGCAGCGGCAGCACCATGAGGAGCAGCAGCGCCGGCGCCGTGCCCGAGAACAGGTAGAGCCCCACGTCCAGGAAGCAGACGTGCGTGTCGAACTGTGAGGCCGGCGGCTGCCGCGAGTCGCAGGTGTAGTTGTAGAGGTACACCACCTGCACCCGGCTGTTGTTCAGCCACGTCTGGAACCAGGTGTTCTCGCAGGTGCAGCTCAGCGGACACTTGCGCAAGTCCAAGTAGCGCAGGGCGCCCAGCCGCTGGGCCACGCTCTGGTTGACCGTCTGCAGCTCGTTCTTGGCCAGCTTCAGCGTCTTCAGGCGGCTGAGGTTGCCGAAGACCTCCAGGGTCAGGGAGTGGAGCCCCACGTTCTCCAGGTCCAAGGTCTCCAGGCGGGTGAGGTTTTTGAAGATGCCTGGCGGCAAGTCCTGCATCCCGTTGCTGCTGTCCGCCAGCGTCAGGTACCGCAGCTGGGCCAGGTCGTCGAAGACGTCGGAGGGGATGGAGAGCAGCTTGTTCTGCGACAGGAAGAGGGTGCGCAGAGCCGTGAGGCCCTGGAAGAACTTGTGGGGGATGATTTTGAGGCCGTAGGGCTGCTGGGCCTGCAGCTTGAGGTCGTAGAGCTGGTGCAGGTACATGAAGGGGGGCTGCTGGCTTTGCTGCTTCGTGATGTACTGCAGGTTGTTGCCCTTCAGATCCAGCACCTCCAAGGTGGCCTGCACCGGGTGGAAAATGTCGCTGCTGATCTCCTGGATGTGGTTGCCGTCCAGGTAGAGCTTACGGAGGCGGCACAGCCCCTGGAAGGACTTGCCCGTCAAGTGCCGGATGTTGTTGCCCCCCAGGTCCAGCGTCTGGAGCTGGCTCAGGTTGCTGAAGACGTGGGAGAAGAGGACGGAGACGTGGTTGTTGCGGAGGTTGAGCGTCTGGAGCTGGCCCAGGTCGGCGAAGCTGCTCTGGTAGAGGTCGGTGAGGAGGTTGTTGTCGAGCCGCAGCTCGGTGAGGTTGCGCAGGCCCTGGAGGGCGTCCTTCTGCAGGTCGGCGATGTTGTTGATGTTGAGGTGCAGGACGCGGAGGCTGGGGGCGTAGCCGAAAGCGTGGCGGCTGACGATGAGGATGCGGTTGAAGCGGTAGGAGATGTTGTAGAGGTGGGGCAGGTGCGGGGCCGCCTCGCAGGACCGCAGGTTTTTCAGCAGGTTGTGCTCCACCACCAGGTTCTGCAGGCCCTGCCGCTGCCTCCAGCTCAGCAGCTCCGCCACGC